CTGTGGTTTAAGTTAATGATAAATGGTGGCAACTTATTGGACAAAATAAGCAGGTTAATTTGATTTATAAATTTATATATGAATGTAAAATGACCACTCACCTCATTGCTGGCAATGTACAATAAAGATCCATTCAAATCAATAGTCATTATTATGTTAAATATGACCGAAATGTTAATATATACAAAAAACTTTCATTTGAATATAATATAAATATTTACTAACATTATACTGTATAATGATATAATTGTTCAGATAACTCTAATATACTAAGTAATTTAATTGAAACAAATATTAATTGATTATAATAATGAATGAATTCACAATGCGTGATAAATGATCACTGGTAATACTTTCATTGCATTAATTTGTGTAAAATCAATATAACTTTCAATGATAATGTCATGTGAAAATATTTAATTGAAATTATTGATGTTGCTATTGCCATAAAAATTAATTATATTTAATTTGATTCAATGACTTCTACTCCAGAGGTATAAGTAGTCGTCGATTGAGTGGTGTTTGTGGTGTCGGACGACATGTTTCCCACATTTCGCCACTCGTTTACAACCAATGATTGGTATCCGTAATATTGAAGTGACAAGTATTGTATCCAATCTAACCACCCTGGTATTGTGCTAAATAATCAGTAAATACAACTTATTGCTTAATTAACGGTATAATATTAAGTATAACTTATTACCCGATGTTAAAGAAATATCCTCCCAATACACTCAATGGCATCAAAAGTGCTTCCAGTATTGCATTGGCTGTCATAATGTCCGGACATAATGTAGATATTAAAAATCCTATATTTATTTTAATTATAATAAACAATTAATAATTATTATTTAAATACTACATTTAAAATTATGTTTTTTAAAAAATTGTATAATATAATTAAATTTTATAATACGAATAATCAAGTTAAATGTTAATTTATTAACTTAATAATATTTACCGTAAGCCTATACAATATTATTAGTGTTACTTAACCTTATATAAATATTAGTCAAGATTAGTCAAAATTTGTTCAAGTAGAATTTGGGTTTATAAATTATACAGATATTTATATTAATAATAATTTATTACCGAAATTCCAGGAACAAATACTGGTCAGGATAATAACACCAAGGTAAATGAAAAATGCTTGTGCACTGAGATATAAACCAACGATGAAATACAAAATCGTCACAAATATAATATTCAGTATTTCATTTATAGCCAACTGTTCAAGTAAATATATAATGTTAATAGTGTCAATACCGCAAACACACAGAATCACGAACAACGAAATCTCGAAAATTTTAAAATCTTTTATTTAATTATTGGTTAATTATATGAATCAAAGCTTCAAAGAGAGCCATATGTCTGAAACTTAGTAATACATAGGTTTTCACATTTAGAAATCCGAGTCCATCATATGTCATGTTATTATAGTCAGTAACATAAGAAAAACATTTGTTTTGGTTTTAAACCAGTTTTCAAAAGTATTACCAATGGTATTAAATTTATATCTAATACTGGTAATGCTGTATTCAAAACTGGTTTAAAACCAAAACAAATGTTTTTCTTATATGTTACTGACAATAAGAGCCAACTTATACTGATTTATTATACGACTGTATTATAGCATTTGTGGACGCATTACAAACACTGTTACATATAAAGAGGAGTGCGAGCCACATGAAAAACTATTGTCCCCTTTAATAAGCAAATACAGCAGGGACAGAGATAGGGAGTAGCCTTTTGCCGTTATAAATATGGCAACAATGGGTTAGAATTCAAACATAAGAGGTATACTAAATACATAGCAATTAAACAAATGGACACCATTCTCATACACCCCCCGTTACCAAATGATCAAATCAAAGCATCAAAGCGCGCGTATAGGTATATGAGCACCGGTAATAATTCAAATTTTAAAATAAACCCATCTTATTTATTAAAATATAAGATGATGCTTTGATTTAATCATTTGGTAACGGGGGTGTATGAAAATCGTGTCCATTTTTTTAATTGCTATGTATTTAGTATACCTTTTATATTTGAATTCTAACGCATTGTTGTCATATTTATAACGGCAAAAGGCTACTCCCTATCTCTGTCCCTGAAATACAGTTACAATTAAGTTAATCTAATTCAAAATTACCCTAATTTAGCGCGCAATTATATTAATTTAGTACATAATTTAGTTAATCTAATGCACAATTAAGTTAAGTTAGTAAACAATTAAGGTAATTTAGTGCGTAATTTAATTCATAATTAGGTTCGCCTATTATATTTTAAATCATTTGCTGATTGTATTTTTCTAATTATTATAATTTATTAAACATTGAATGTGATTTAAAAGGGGGAAAGTTGTGTTATGTGTGTAATGCTATTTTCGATGAGATTTATGTAGAGGGCTTTTAAAAACATGACATTGTTAAAACTTTATTTCTTAATATACTTTATGTGTTAAAGCAAGATTGTAAATATTTTGTACAATAAATGTTTAAAAGTTAATAAAATAGCTAAAATATAGATTATATAATTTTCGAGATTTTTTATTTCGAAATTTCATTGTTTGAGATCTTGATGTACTCCTCATAATACAAGTATGACAATGAATATAACTTAACAACTCTTTATATATTTCTATTAATCATAAGATTTTTCATAGCAAAAGACAAAACAAATTATAATGAAATATAGAAAAACTGTTAAATTCTCATAAGTTATATATCTGATGTTAGAAAGCAAATTGAGGTTTATATATAGGCTAAAAATTTAAATATTTGTCATTGCTTTTGAGTAAAGTATAAAGTATTTTTAGCCTATATATAATCCTCAATTTGCTTTCTAACATCAGATATACATAATTTGCGAATAATATTATGTTGACATTTTGTAAAATTAATTATACATGTATAATACAGCATTGATAATAAATAATCATCATCATAAATAAATATTTTACTCAAACATTACCTGGGTAGTAAAGATCGCCAATATATATGGAAACATAGCGTACGTACGGTTGTGGTGTTCCCTACAAAGTAAGGCTTCTTCTCCTATTAATGTCTATAATATTAAATATTTCAATATGATACTTTTATAATTTTTTCAAATAGCTATGTACAAATTAGCAATGTAATATTGTGCAGATACAAAACAATATTCTTTAATGTAAATGCAAAAATCCAAATTATCAAAAATGTAAATGTTTTTGAGAGAATAGTAAGCAATTATTTTGAGAAATGAAATAATGATGCTTACAGTGAGTGCGACCGTTGCCTGGGTCATTGAAGTTCTCGATAATATCATATTAAGAGCCCCTTTGATATTATCAACGTTGGAGTAATTATATCCCTGTCCGTAGTAGAGTACCCCAAATAATACTGTCATACTCTGTGTGAAAAACAAATTGAAAATTTTGTATAAATTACAGTAATTGTATATTAATTTTTAAGTCTTAACCATCATTATAATGAGACGATCTCTTATCAAACTGGGATTTCTTATGAAAACAATATATGATCGCCATAATACAGTATCCAGTTGTTGCCAATAACCAGCCCTATAGCCCGACCCTAGTGTATCCAAGTTTAGTACAGACATATTATGAACGTTATATTGAGGTTTAATTGTGTTTACACTCCATTCGAGATAATTATCACATATTTCCTAAATATTAAGGTAATTTAAATATAAATATAAATAACTGGTTAAATGCTTATTCAAATATTACATTGACTTTGCTTTTAGTTTGCGCATAATTACTATCCATTATTGCTATGAAGGGATAAATGATATAAAGTGATTGAAATTTATTAGGCATATGAGTAAAACAAACCCAATTCCCGTAAATAATAATCCGATGGATTGTAGGTTTTTGGACAAACCTATTGAATAAATTAAAATTTTTATATTTAATTAAATAAATATAATTATAATATCAATATTACTAATCCTTGCGTTGAAAAGAAATCTTTTGCTTCACCTATAAATGCAATGAAATTAATATACATTTATAATAAATATATAAAATATGAATACCGATGGACCCCATGAAGGCTACCCTTCCGTCGGCCATAAGTAATAGACTGTCGAAGAGTTCAAAGACTTGAGACGAGGGCTGATGTATAGTACAGATGACAGTCCGTCCCTCCGATGTCATAGTCTTCAGCACTTGTACTATACTTTTGGCCATAAATGAGTCCAAACCAGTGGTCGGCTCATCACTAATGCAGTCAATCATAAGTTTGTCATTAGTTTTAAAGACAATTACAAAAAGTGGTGTATTTCTGACCAAAACATTAGCGAAGGGTTTGTGAGAACCTCCGAAGCAAAGGACAGTCTTTTCATTTCTCCGCCGGAAATGCCTTTCAATTGTTTGTTGTCTCCAATCCGTGTTTCCGCACATTTCGTTAAATTAAACTAAATGTAAAAGATTTTAATTAATTTAAAATAAATATTTGTTAAAAACCTTTTGAATGACTCGTTGAATGCAATCGATTCTCTCATTTCTACTCAAATTCCTATCCATTCGTAACAATGCCTTCAAATATGAGTTCATTTTAAAACATTTATCTAATTATTGTATTTCAAAATCAATATTAATTTATAAATACATGAAACATGAGATGTTCTCTGACTGTAAACACCGGTTGAAACAAATCGTGTTGTTGTATATACGAGGAAATGGATGCAATGGTCTGTTGACTGACTGTCTGTCCATTCATGAGTACCACTCCATTGACGGACAGTTGGGATAAATTCCTTGCCGTCAATACATTCAATAGAGTTGTCTTTCCGGAGCCACTGAATTACAGAATCATTTAATACAATATTTTTAATAAGAAATATGTACTATTAATAGTATATAATAGTATATAATAGTATTATAAACTCAAATTCAAATAAAGTCCAAGAATTCTTAAGTCCTTTATTTTGCTGACAATTAATAATTATATTTAAGAAATGATTTACTAAACAATTTTCGACCATTTATTAGAATAAATATTCCAAATTACAAATACTATCATTATGCTAACTATTAAATCAGTCAATTGCAAAGGGGGAAAGGAATATGAATTTTTTGGGGTGATTCAGATCAGTACGTAATATACTTATGTATGAATCCTATGGTCAGGTGTTCGAATCCCGATGAGGGCAACTATTTTTTTGTATTTTTATTCGTTTATTTTTATATTAACAATAAATATATTTCGATATTTAAAAGAGCATATGCATAATTAATAAAATTCTATCAATTAAATTATATACATAAACAAAATGTAATGTAAA